TATTATTCCCCGCGTGTAAGCATGCTATTATTACCCGCGTGTAAGCATGCTATTATTACCCGCGTGTAAGCATGCTATTATTACCCGCGTGTAAACATGCTATTATTACCCGCGTGTAAGCATGCTATTATTACCCGCGTGTTAGCATGCTATTATCATCTGCGTGTAAGCATGCTATTATTACCCGCGTGTTAGCATGCTATTAGTACCTGGCTCCATTTTTGCGGAACCCACATTGCCGGACAGTTGGCATGGTTACCGCAGATGCTCACAGACAGCGGCATGCTATCCTGGTCGCACTGCTGAGGAGGCTGCGTTTTTCCGTCCGTATCCCGGCAGCTGACTGATCTCCGCCGTAGCTCACAGGCGCGTCGGCACTGCAGACGAACACGGAGAGCGTGAAGGGATGCTCGGAAACTAATCTATACATCGCAAACTGACGCACGAACACGGAGAGCGTGAAGGGATGCTCGGAAGCTAATCTATACGTCGCAAACTGACGCACGAACATGGAGAGCGTGAAGGGATGCTCGGAAGCTCATTTGTTATGTATGTCAACTCGGGTGCATCGACTATGCCATCACTATAGGAATAATTATTGATAATTATTGATTGAGTGAAATTACAGGAACTAGTCTATACCAGGAAGGTGGCGCAGCAAACCGGGTTGTAACTATCAAACGGGGATACCCCCACCCCCCATATTTAATCTACCTCATCCAGGGGCTTCTCTTTTAACGTGCCCACTCGTTGTAGGCACACTCTTTCTTTAACTCACCAACCCGCTGCAGACACACCCTTTTCTAACGCGCCCACCCGTTGTAGCCACACCCTTTCCTTAACCCACCCACCCGCTGTAGGCACACCCTTTCTTTAACCCACCCACCCGCTGCGGACACACCCTTTGTAACGCGCCCACGCTTTTTTTCCTAGGTCAATCAAGAACATAGGGCTCTAGTGAGCGCTGCTATTGGTCGAGCTTGTTTCGTCGCTCAATGACGTCACAGTGTCGTTATATTCATAGCACATCCAAAATTTATAATTGCTATAATCCTCAATAGCCTAGCGAGTACAGGACGCAATTCAAGTCGGTGGATCGCATCCCATCCGTTTTCTAATTATTTTCCTGTTTTCTGTATTTTTCTATCTTTATCCGTTTAACAATTTTTTTCTAATTAACGCAAATATTTACATGATTTATTTACAACATTTTAATAACAACAATTAATTTTTACAACAATTAAAAATTATGTTTTTTATATATTTTTTTAAATAGGGTTTGGGTTAGGGTTAGGGTTAGGGTTAGGGTCACAATGCAGTGAATACACCATAAAACAGGAGTTTGAGGCACGTGATTTGTATCAACCAATGGCAGCGCTCACTAGAGCCCTATGTTCTTGATTGACCTAGGAAAAAAAATCAAGCCACCCGCTGCGGACACACTCTTTTTTAACACTCCCACGCGTTGTAGGCACATCCTTTCTTTAACGCGCCCACCCGCTGCGGAAACACCCTTTTTTAACGCACCCACGCGTTGTAGGCACATTCTGTCTTTAATCCACCCACCCGCTGCGGAAACACCCTTTCCTTAACGCGTCCACCCGCTGCCCATCTTACCGTTGACCATTCCGTAACCGTCCAGTGACTCACACAATCACCGTCGCTGCAAATCCTCCGCGAGACGGGGCGAGTGTCTGGGTCACATGACTCGTCGCCTGTCGTCGAGCATCTCGCGTCTCTCGTCTGCTCTCCATGCCCACACGGCACCGAACACTAGAGACGCCGCAGCCACGCGGAGACACAGACAGCGAGTGCAAATCGAATCCAGTTACAACACGGTCCTCATACTCATCCTCCCTAACGCTGACCCACCACATGTCGCTAACGACGAATCTACGTCCTTCAATTATGTTCCTAACATATTCCGCACCCGGATCCATCTCACCTCTCTAACCATTGATGAATATGAAATTCACTGTCACATTTAATAGAAAAATATTGTGAGGGATCAGCACTTTATTACGACATTCCAATATCTTATTATTCATCTAGTAGCGATTTTGCATCCGCCTAACCTAACAGGGAGAGGCAGACAGACAGAGAGCGAGAGCGGGACACATAATATAATATATATATTTATTTATTTATTTATTTATTTATTTATTGATAGACAGACAGACAAACAAACAGACAGACACACAGACACACAGACACACAGACAGACAGACAGACAGACAGACAGACAGACAGACAGACAGACAGACAGACAGACAGACAGACAGACAGACAGACAGACGAACGGACGGACGGCTGGATAGATAGATAGAGAAAGTGACAGAGATAGAAAAAGAGACAGAGACCGAGACAGAGACCGAGACAGAGACAGACAGAGACAGAGACAGAGAAAGAGACAGAGATAGAGAGCGAGACAGAAAAAAGAGACAGAGACAGAGGCCGACAGAGAGCGAGAGAGAGAGGGAAGAGGAAGAAAGATGGGGGGGGGGAGAGAGAAAAGCGCAACATGACAAACCTGCGACCATGTAGTCGTTTCCCACAACGGGCCACACTTTGCGAGGCTGCACGCACGCACCGTCCTCGGTCGCTCTTCCCCACACAGCTCTGCGTGCACAGTGCTGTCGAAGCCAGGCGCCAGCATCCTCCAGCATCGTAGCGACCTGTACTGCTCGCCATCGCCACACGTGCGTGAACACTGCGACCACAGACCCGTCACCCACCTGGCGGCAAACCGCGGTACTAGTTACATTGGTCGTTGGTTTCAGCGGATGATTTGATCAGTGAAAGTGATAGTACGATTTTGCAGATGCGAGGCTCTCAGAAGGAAGGTTTTGATAAATTGCGAGCGATAAAGTTCTTACCAGACCTGTGTTTCACACACACGCGCGCGCACACACACACACGCACGCACGCACGCACTCACGCACGCACGGCACGACACACACACAAACACAACACCACACCACACACACAAATATATATATAGGATATATAGATATATCATAACGACCCTGATTACATTGGTTAATCCGCAATATATGATTCCCGCTTAGGATAGTCGAGCGTGAACAAATCAACAGCAATTAGACGCTAGCCGTCGCAAGCTATACGCTGTTCCATTACGGATAGATTACGCGATATTAAAACTGCAGGCAGCAGTGAGCACTAAACTAGCGTCGCAGGCTTTGGATTCAGGCACGGCTCATTTAGTCGGAGTTCGGGTCTTGGCGACGGTCCTGCAATACTCCATCATCAACGGACGCCAAGTCATCTCACGCCCATTGAGGGAAACACTGCAGCCTTCGCGGCCACCGGTTGCTGCCCCCGCTGACCTGCCAAGAACGGGTCAACTGACTACGTCTCACCAGGCGTTAGCTAACAACAGACACATCCCTCTTACCATATTCTATAAGTTAAAAACATGAAAAGAGTCGTTTGTTGCTTTCGCGGTTATTGTAATGAATTAAGTATGTTAAGGAGACGAATGAGTGATATTATGTAATATAGATAAATACATCCGGTAAACTAATCCGCGCTAGGCTGCTTCACAGATCCTTCCACCGATTTACATAAATCCGCAAACATAACGCCAGTCAATCAGCCTCATGTTATATTTGCTAACCTGATAGCTGTATACTATACCGTATATCTATTCACCTGACGCAGAATATCTCGTGTATTAGTATCACTCGTGTATAGTGTTATATACACTTCGGTGTGATAGTATACCACTGAGCTGCACCTATAGTAACTATGGCACCTCCGTGTTCCCCCGACGTAGGGTGTTCGCATCCGGCGGTGGTCGTTGTTATGATGCTAGGGAAGGATCACTTACGCGAGCGTAGTTATATTTTATCGACTCGCTCTCGGTTGATCGCGGCATCATTGAAAAATTGTTGTTCCTCACATAGGCTGAGATCTTTAATTACTAAGGTACGATACTTCGCAGCCGTTCACGAATTAGGGGCCCACATCGTGCACCGTCCGATGGGCGATTTTTATTCGCCGATCACGAAGGGGCCACACGTGGACGTAGTTAGCGAATTTGAAGACGCGTACTGCGTTGTACGCCGACTCTAGGAACAGAACATGTCTAAGCACTCACGTTTATGGATGTACTCCAACACAACAACGTTCCGAAGTTGTCGATCCGTTCGAAAAATCCGACCTCGTCGGAGACGCAACCAAAATGCACGCCCGTCCACGGCTTCACCGGGGCACACTGATGACAGATAATAATTACGCCCCGAGCCGTATATAAATCGCCGAAATATCTAACCATATTTGTGGATACGCGGGCAAGGCGATTCATCGGCTCGGCACCGACAATTAATTAACACATCGGCGCCTCGCTGCTGCTGCGCGTCGGACTGTGAAAGGGGGCACACGAGCGATTTTTTCGAGCGATTTTGAAATTCGCGGCGATCGGGCGATAAAAATCGCTCGTGTGCCCCTACCAATAGCAGCTCAGTGAGTTTATCTATCACTACGGATAATGTAACGCTGCTCAGCGTCACCTACCGGACGTGCACGTAACACTGCATTCGCTATATCCTACAACGCGCCACGTGAACGCGGGTTCGTCTGTGATAACAGCGACGGTGGTAAAAGCCGCATCACTTGTAACTGACTCCGGTGACAAAACGTTCGTCTGTTCCCCGCCGCCTACAGCGCTATCGTCAACGTTGTCGCCACCTGCAGACAGGATTTAGAGAGATTTAGATTAGAAACAAGCATGCGAGAGAGTAGAAAAAAAGAAAGAAAAAAAAGCGAAAAGAATAAGTAAAAAGAGAAACCCACCAACGTCGTCACTATCCAAGCTTAGTCGGGCGCCTGGACCCTCACGCTCTCTGTCCTTGTCGTATTCGGTCATACGAAAGCGTTCACCGTCTATGAGACTCTGCCTGACGAATGTTGGTTGGTTCTGCTCTTCCTCGTGAACGAAGATCGGTCTGTGCGACACGTGTACGAGGTGCGGCTCGCGGTAGCCAGGGGACGGACTCGTCGCTAGTAGAGAGGTCACCGTGTCATCAAATGAGGACTCCGATGATGTCCTGTCACTATCGTATGGTGTGACATCTGATGATATCCTGTCACGGACATGTGGTGTGACATTCCGTGACATCCCGAATATATCGAGTGCTATAACAGGGTCTGATGATAGGTGTCGTATGACGTCGTCGAACGGGCTATGGTTGTCGGCCTGCCGTCTGCGGTTTTCCGTACGCGTCGTGTTTAGTGAGTATCTGTAGGTGATGTTGACTAAGGTCGCGGTAGAAACCACCTTTACCTACACAATCAGATATGAGTGTTTGAATCAATGATGGTTTCGTACGCTGATATCACATTTCTAAATATTGATATAATTGACATCATATTTTGAATTTCTAATATTTCTGATGTAATATATCTGATCGCATGGCCGTGCGTTAGAGTTGGGATCATAGGAAAAATGTTTGGAAAACATTTAGTAAAATAGAGGTTTAAAATGTGCATGAATTCTTCAGTTTATTTTTCACTCATTTGCTGGTATTGGCTCTTGATAAAGACAACTATCGCCTCGCCTCCTACCACTGGATTGCCATCGTTTATAGTAAAAAGCATGATACTTGCGACAATTTGTGCAGGCGTGTCAATAGGCTTCCGACACGTGATCAGCGATCTACCGGTAGTGTTGCTGCGCTGAAAATAGAACCTGCTGCCTGCGATGTCTTTTTTGACACCAGGTGGCGGAATGTCGTAGGCGGAGTTGAAGATATATCCATTACCGTCAGACAAACGGACACCTAGCACATGTGCACATCGTTACGTATATATATATATGTATATATATATATATTTATATATATAATGTGTGTGTGTGTTTGAGTGTGCATGTGCGTACGTGCGTGCGGGCGTGTGTATGTGTGTGTGTGTGTGTATGTGCGTGTGTATGTGTGTATGTGTGTGTGTGCGTGCGTGCGTGCGTGCGTGCGTGCGTGCGTGCGTGCGTATTTGTGTGCATGTGTATGTGTATGTGTGTGTGTGTGTGTGTGTGTGTGTGTGTGTGTGTGGTGTGTAATGTTTGTTGTGTGTGGTTAGTGTGTAGCGTGTATATATATATATAGATACTATATATATATATATAGTATAATATTGGTAGTCTTAATGTGACAAGCAATATTATCACTTCGACACTTTTCACTCGTCTACACCCAACATATTATTAGTACGCTCTAAACCAGGAAAAGCTAACGGTAGAATTTTAGTAAACGGTTTGCTCGTACTGAAAAACACAATTTCAGTTTGTTTCACGCAAAGGCTAGGTGATCGTTGCTATGATTGTTACATTAATAATATATATATATATATATATATATATATATATATATAATATATCAAAGTCCATAATAGAAAATTTTCGATTTTCATTTCTATCTTCTATCTTTATTTTCTATTATGGACTCTTGATGTATATACAGTTGTTGTATAACTGCGAGGTGTATTTTAATGCGTACCTATCGTGGCATCCAGACTGGCGTGCTGCGTTATATTAATCCAGAACGATCCCGCCGGCAGATTCAAAATACTGTGCAGACCTAATAATCAAAGATATATAAGATGAAAGATATAAGATCACACATATAAGATGTATCATTTCCATGATGCGTTTTAGCAAAAACTATCACGATACCTTCTTCATAGAGCCGTAACTTAGTTTTGGGTAGTTTGGATAATTGAAGTCAGTATAGTGTAATACGCGAATATATTATAATAAAGAAAATGTCACAGAAGCGTTATTACTATTGATATAAGTACAAGCTATGACTTCTCTCGTTGTCTCTCTCGCTTTCTCTCTCTCTCTCTCTCTCTCTCAATATTTCGCTCTCCCTCCCTTTTCCACCTGGGCAGTAATTACAGCGAATAATTTTTGTTTGCATGCCTTTCTATATCAACAATACCTTTTCTAATGTAATCGCGATTGAAATTGCCCCAGGTTGTGATGCATGGTGAATAAGGAAAATCACAGGGGTCCTCGTCTGCTATAGACGTGGCATCTTCTGCTCTTCGCTATCCAAAGATATACACATGCGTTCGTAAATATTTACACCTTTATTTAATTATTTATTTATTCATTCATTAATTCATTCATGAAACCCGTATTGTCAGCTAAAACAACGACAAAAGTGTTATCAACGACCAGTAGTGAATTTGTACACACCCCACGCACACACACACACACACACACACACACACACACACACACACACACACACACACACACACACACACCTCCCTCTCCCTTCTCTCTACTTCGCTCTCGTTCTCGCTCTCTCGTGTGCGCTCGCTCTCTCGTGTGCGCTCGCTCTCTCGCATTTGCATTCAGGGAGGAAACTTAAGACCTATTATTGAATTTTATTGGGATACAAACAACACGCACGCATGCACGTCCACACACTCAGGCACCCACCCGCCCCTTTGTTACTAATTCAAATATATCACCAATTTATATATTTAAAGAACTAGCTCCACCTGGCGGGCGATGACGCACCTGTACCACGTGACTGCGGCATCGGCTGGCGACACAGACGCCATCTCTGCCGCACGGCGTGCCGTCCGTCTCCGCCGGCGACAACTTCCGTGTGATGACACTGCCGAGTGACGTCACGGCGTGGCAGACGAGAGCGCATTTCCGATGACGTGAGGACGCGGAGCCTGTGCGGAGAACGAGAGAGAGAAAGATGAAAAAGCGAGAAGTGAGAGATGCATGAAGAGAGGGGGAAAGAAAGTCAGAGATATACGAGACGGATAAAGAGAGAAAGGGAGATGGAGAGAGATGGAGAGATAGAAAGAGAATGGAGATTGCGATGAGACTGGGAGAGAGAGAAAGATGAGGAGAGAAGGGGGGACAGAGGGCAAGAAAATGAGAGAGATGTGACTGTGAGAGAGACAGAGAGAGATGAGAGTGAGGGATGGTGAGAAGGGAAGAGAAAGAGAGATAGATGAAACTGAGCGAAAGAAAGAGCGAGAGAGAGAGAGAAAGAGAGAGAGAGAGAGAAATGAAAAGATGTAGATTGTAGAGAGAAGAGAGGAAGAGAAAGAGAGGGCGGAGGAGAATATAGAGAAATGTTCGAAGTAGCTATGAAATAATAATACGTAATAATAATAATAATAATAATAATAATAATAATAATTGTTATTATTTACAAACAGAATAAATGAAAGGCTCTCAGCGTACATATGATATAACGAATAAATTAATGTGCAACGGTCAGTGGTATGTGTTGAGCTGCAATGTCGTGTCGGTTATTAGCATATATACGTCATGAAAGTTGGGGGGTGCGGTATGAGTAGCGTTGATTGTGCTGCGTAGTGTTATGTTATGGTGTGTATTGTGTATGTGTATTGTGTATTGTGTATGGTGTGTCTCCTATTATGTACTCTTGGTATGATGTGTGGGTGTGTGTGTGTGGGGGAGGGGGGTATGCATATTTGAGTTGTGGTAAATCATGACTATGTGGTATGTATGACGGTATATGTACATGGTGCAGATGTATAGATGTTGTCTCGTTATAGGAACATAATATAATGAATATAAATAACTCGAATATTTACGAAGACATCATACCATCCAGTGATGGCTTCCAGTTATATAGTCGCTCGCCGAAGTAGCGTGTGTCAAACACTGAACACTGGTTGGCTCGTGCATCTCCTGCTGGGCAAGGCTGAAGGTAATTCACATGTTTAGTGCGCAGTGTTCATTATTCCATCATTTACTTATTCATTTATTATAACAATTTACGTTTTCCCAGCTGGAATGCACACATGCACTGACACACACATCTACGCACCCACGCATACACACACACACGCGCGTACGCGCTCACGCACATGGGTTTTTATTTTATCGCAATAAACGAGATCGTGTGTTTTCAAGTATATAATTAAAGAAAGTTTACAACGGAGAGTTACGAGACACGTGGGTATTGATATTCAGTGCGCATATTTTCTTGATGTTATTTTATTACTAATTTTATTTAACTTATTATTATTTTATTTAGTTTTTTTTGTAAATTATCACGCGTATAAGAATAGACACATGCGCAGCAGGCATTAATGCTGACAGGATCAATCATGCTTACCCCACTGTTGCAGGTTTGGTACCTGATCGTTCTCCCTTTACACTCCGTGTTTGATGCATTATACTGCAGGCGTATACTGCCAGGTGACCTGCAAATTATTAATTTCGTTCATAAGTTTAGCCATAAAATAATACGATCTACGATTAGAAAATGGAAATTTGCACCATTGGATATATTACGGCTTGTCGGTATTCATCATTGTGATGTGAAAATGCGTATGAATTATATAGTTTTGTTCGGCCGCCATTTACGAGAGAGAGGCGAGACCGACAGACAGACAGACCGACAGACAGACAGACAGACAGACAGACAGACAGACAGACAGAGAGAGACAGACGGATGGACGGATGAACGGACGGACAGACAGACAGACAGACAGACAGACAGTCAGACAGACGGACGGACAGACAGACAGACAGACAGACAGACAGACGCATGGACGGACAGACGGACAGACAAACATGCAGACAGGAAGACAGACAGAGAGAGAGACAGACAGACAGACGGACGGACGGACAGACAGACAGACAAACAGACAGACAGGCAGGCAGACAAACAGACAGGCAGGCAGACAGACAGGCAGACAGACCGACAGGCATACAAACAGACAGGCAGACAGACAGACAGACAGACAGACAGACAGACAGACAGACAGACAGACAGACAGACAGACAGACAGGCAGACAGACCGACAGGCATACAGACAGACAGAGAGGCAGACAGACAGACAGACAGACAGACAGGCAGACAGACATGCAGACAGACAGACAGGCAGGCAGCCAGACAGGCAGACAGACCGACAGGCATACAGACAGACAGAGAAGCAGACAGACAGACAGACAAACGGACAGACAGACCAACCGACAGACAGACAGACAGACAGACAGACAGGCAGAGAGACACTGTCTGTCACAGACAGACAGACAAGACAGACAGACAGACAGACAGACAGACAGACAGACAGACAGACAGACAGACAGACAGATAGATAGATAGATAGATAGATAGATAGATAGAT